TGATTTAATCATCTGATAGTTATTTCTAAATGTACAAGGTGATATAAAAGGCAAGGGGAAGCATATTGTCAAGTAAATTCATACCATGCTGAGTGATCACCAGAATTATTCAGGAGGAGGTTTGCTGATGAGGGAGTATGGGACTTTGCACTTGACCCTATTATTCAGTTCTTAATGTACATTATTCAGTCCTAATGATACAAAGCTGGTATATTAAGTCAAATTAATAAAAACTCCAGGGCCAGGAAGTGTACCATAGTGGGTTGAGCTGTTGCCTGTGATGCTGCCATCCTTAATGACCACAGGTTTGTGTCTTGGCTGCTCCACTTCTGACCCAGCTCTCTGCTGATGAAGCTGGGAAAGCAGCAGAGGATGGCCCAGGTACTAAGGCCCCTGCTACCCATGTGAGAGACCGAGATGGAGCTTCTGACTTCTGGCTTCTGGCTTTCTGGCCCAGCCCAAATACTGCAGCCATCTGAGGATTGAAGCAGCAGATGTAAGATCTCTCATTCTGTGAGTGTGTGTATGTGTATGTATGTGACCCTCTCTCTTTTTCAAATAAATACATCTATAAAATGAAATAAGATAAAAATTCTAGAACTTACTTTTATGTCATAAAGGCAAATTTAAGTTAATCATTTTACTATTAAAAGAAACAAGTTAAAATCTTATTGTTGGCTTTAATAACACCAGCAATAATAACAATATTAATACTTGCCAATGCATAAATGGAAAGAAGCTTGCTGTAACACTAAAACATAACTTTTAAAAGACTTTGGCACATTACTTGATCCAAAAGGTATTTGAGTCAGCTATGATGGTGAAGGACTAAAAATTGAAATATACAGGTGAAGGAATTGGTGAGATACAGCATAAAGAGGACAAGAGTCATTGATGACAAATATCACAAAGAAGGGGAGTTTGGATTGTTTTAGTTGAAGCCCAGTAGTTGAAGAATTGGTTGAAAATTGAGGGAGTCAGAAAAACTAAGAGTCAGATGAAATTCCGTTTTGAATGTAACTACTATAGTCTTCCTGCTCCCTAGAAACACTAATCAGAATTGTAAAACACAGGGCATGAGCAAGGATGTGATAGTATTGTTTTAAGCATCCTTAATTGGATGACCTAAATAGTCTTACAATATACTCCCATTTTTTATTATGTAATAAAATAGAGCAATTCATTAAAGTAGCTTCCTGTGAAATGGGTTACAATCAAGTGAAACAGATACAAAGAAAGTATTGGTGCAAAGATAGGAAATATGATATTTAGTAGAGAATATGTAACTGCAGTAGCCAAAGTCCTAGTAAGCTTATGTGTTTATGTCTTAGGAAGATTTTGCTCTGATGCTATTAGACTTTTAAATTAAGTTTCATGTTAAACAAAATAAGGTTTATAAAAAGAAAGGGATCAGATTCTGAAAAGAACTCAAAACATCCAATGCAAATAATATGAAAGCAAATGTCAAGGGAGAATTGCACCACAATGAAAAGCTAACTGTAAACAAAAAGACCACCTTTGTATGAATATGTTTGAAACAAAATGAGAATCATTAAACCCTTTATCTTATTGATATTCACTTGACTAAGAAAGGCTTAAATGAAAATAACAACCCAAAAAATATTTTTGAAGATACAAACCCAAAGAATATTCTTTACTGTACATGTTCAATGCTTTGAATTTTAATCAATCAGAATTATTTTAAAGTATTGTTTTCTATATCCTTTTTAAATGATGAACTCAGTTTTTGATGAGGAATCTGAACTGTATCAGAAGACTAGAATTTACTGTCCTTGGCCCAGATACTCTTCTCAGAAGTAGGCTATTTTTGTGCTCTATGCTTAGCATATTTAAAGATACACATTCCAGGTGAGTCGCTTGTTCCAAAGTGCACTTGAATTTTGTTTGCAGATGAGACTCTATTTCTTCAGTGCCTCCCTCCCCCCTTTGACAAGTCTATCTCAATACTCCCCTCAGGAACCAATCATGAACAATTTCTGAAGAGTCGACAGTTGATAATTTCATAAGCACTGATTCTCTTTTATGTCAGGTAAACTGCCAGTTGAGGCTAGAGAACAAATGTAGCACAAATAATGTAACACAAAATTGAAAATAATGTAAAAGAATGTAACAAAATTCTAAGTTATTTAAAAAAAAAACAGAAAATATCTCTCTTCCACATAAAATAAAGTTATACAGGAATATTTAAATAATTGGGGCAAAGAATACATACCTCATGTAAGATCTTAAAGTCATGAAAATTAACTACAACAATGAAGTTTCATATGTGTAGTGACTTAGTCTTATTGATAGTAATCATACCAGGCTAAGTTCTAATAAAAAATATGATGATAAATTGACTATGGAATGATGGATTTGGAAAGGAGAGGTGAAGGTCATTGGAGGTCCTAGAATTTCCTATCTCCAAATTGCCACTATGCAGACAAACTGGTTTTCTTCCTGAGTAGTGCCCAGATGGCAAAGACAACATTGATATGTGACCTTAGCTGCTAGTTGACAGGGACCTGTCACCAGTAGGTGACCCCATCAGTCTGAAGGCAGAAAAATTACTAAATGAGCCAAGAAAGTGCCTATAGGCCAGTATACCATAGGTCCCTGAGAAGCAGGAAGGAAAAGCCTCAGGAAAAATGAATTTTTAGTTGGAGTTTACACAATGCAGTTTGCACAAAAATTCTTTGCAGATAGAAGAAAATAAAAACAATCTAGTTTTCACAGATGTTATGTCTAATAAGACAAGTTTCTAATTCCCTTTGGGAAGAGACATTTATATCACATATGAAAGGCACAGTGAGTGGTGGAATCTCTTAGCAATAAAATAAACACTGAAATTAATGATAACACTATTCTATGTATGCAATCCAGTCTAGAATCAATGTCTGCAATTGTATGAAGATATTTTCTCTGCCATACAACAGTAGTCAGAGGGAAGAACATAATAAAGTAATGTAAACTAATACATGGGTGAAATAATCATTCCTTCCTCAACAAAATTAACAAACACAAGTATAATTAATTTTACAAAAATATAATTCTAGTTGTTAGACAGAAACCCCTAGTAGAAGTTATTTTTTGCAAAGTGGTACAATTGAAAAAAAATTAGGGGTTGAGGGATCATTTTTATACTTCTATCCTCCCCCAAAATAAAATAAACTTGTAATAAAATATAGAAAATAAAACTACTGTATAAAAATGATGAAGTATTATTTCTTCCTAAATAAAAACTTTACCATTCAGATATGAATGATCAGTTGCCTAGCTCAATAGGTGGAGAATTATTAAATATTTATATAAATCGCAGTCAATCTATACTTTATCATTCCTTTTGCAGACCTCTCATTGTTGTTATTTGAAACATTTTGAACTTGTACTTTCAGGATGTTCCATCTAAAACTAGAGAATTCCGTACTAGACACCAGAATATAGGGTGAACACTAAGCAATAAATGTAAGGAGTTAACTTCTGAACTTAAATCTGTGCCTTATAAAAGGAATGAAGTTTTGTTCACAGAGGCAGGAATGGAGTTTTGGAAAGAGAGGTAGGCAGATCATCATTAAAACTCAAGATTTAGAAACATGACTCAGGTTTTAGAAGTCTTAATAGTGCAGCAAAAAGAGTTTTTTCCCCCAAAAGCAAAATCTGAAATTATAATGTATGATTCTGCATTGTTTTTAGTTATTCTGAAAATTCTGACCCCTTTATCAATTAAAGTATCTGTTTTCACTAACAATAACCATAGAACCACTTCGGTAAAAATATTTGTTAATTTTCACAAACAAACCTCACACCAGTAATTGAAAATTGTGCAAATATTAAAAGAATATGGAACCATGCCTATGGCCTTTTCTTTAATACTTTGATTTTATGAAATTTTAATGCAGAAATACCCTCAAGATTCTCTTCCATATGCACAAATACATGTGAATTGCCCCAGACCTTAATTTATAACCAGGACCCAGTGTCTTCATAAACCTACTGCAAGACTTGAGAGCAGATGAGCTCAAAAATCTCATTCTACCTAACAATCTAAACTGGCCAAGGAGAAGAGAATAAGGGAACTATTTAAGACATTATTTGAGGATTCACTTCTATATGTCTCAAGAAAAAAAACTCAAAGCTATTAACCTCTAGTAAATATATCTCATTTTAAAAAGTCATTTTAAACCTAACCTCTGCTACCCTTTTATTTATAATTGGCCTTACTTTAAATCCTAATGAGCAACATCATTGTATTAGAAGGAAAGGACTAGAAACCAAAACTCAGATCCAAGAGATCATCACTGCTATTCCTCATAAGACAGATAGATAATTATCTGTAGTTGGGAGGGGGATTCTGGATAATTTTAACAATTCAAGTAAGGAAAAACTAAATAGTTTAAGTCATTTACCTGTCTTTTGTATCTAAGGTGCCTCAGAATTAAGAGCCTGTGTCTGATACACTGAAGGAGATGAGTGCCTTACTCATACATCCACAGGGAAGTTGAGGATGTGTAAGAAGGGGTACAAAAGGACAAAGAAACACCTTTAGCTGTTCAACACCAATTCAAACGTTCAAGTCCAATTGATGTGACCCTGCCTTCTTTTTGCTAATTACTCACACTGGATTGACCTATTAACCTTGGAAAAGCATACCCAGTCACTAAAGGGTATTATAACCCCTCGGCCAAATGAACCGTTCTAACTGAAACTCAAAATATAGGGTTAACAATAGCATATGTCTCAAATCCACAGCTGGACACTTTGCATGGAGAATTGGATATCGTTTCTGCTCTGTCCCCAGAAACTCCATGGGATACAGTTTCCCTGCACTGTCACTGTAAGGGAATCAGGGCCAAAAGGCAATGCCTGGATGTGCGTGTTCTGAGGTGAAGTGTGTTTCTCAGAGTGCTAGAGATAGACAGGGACTGTGCTACAATCCCAAGAGCACATCATGCAACGCCCTGGCTTTCTTGATTCATTTCCTTCCCAGATGCAATGCCTACCTTCCGTGTGGACTGCAGAGACATAGGTCCAATTGTAACGCTTGACTATATCAAGCATCGCCCTCGCCTGCAAAGTGTCGGAAGGGACAACTCTCAGGAAGTATTTGTACAAAGTTTTGTCACTCAGGTCGATGCTGGTGGCAGAATACGCGATCTGGGGGATGTCAAAGAGCTGGAGCAAGTTCTGCACTTGAATGGCCACGGAGCTGGAGCCCGGGCCTATCACGCCCGCAATGGGCTTCTTAGTTCTGCCTGGGGGGAGGGACTGGCCTTCAGGCAGGCACCGGTTGAGGCCGTCCTTCTCGTCCCGAATGGAAATCAGAGAGTCTCGGATGAACTCGATGCTCTGTTCCAGAGCCACAGAGGAGTGCCAGCAGGAGTCCCGGATCTCACTGCCCAGGGTGATGTTGGGCAGGAGCACCGGGTCCGCATTGATCTTATCCAGCGTGTGGAACATGGCCTCCACCCTCTGGATGCCGTACTGCTCCCTGATCTCCCCACACTTTCTCTCCGGCACCTTCTCCGCCGGAGGTTGGTGGTGCACGGAGAAGAGCGCCCCAATGATGACATCCCCGTCCATTCTGGCCACCGAGCGCTGAGACGAGGCTCCCGCCAGCAACACTCTCCCGCCAGGGTGTCTGGGGAGAAGGGACATCTCCAAAAAGATCGCTGGGAAGAAAACCAAGAGGAGCCTGACCATGGTGCTGGAGACGCGGTCCGCCGCCCGCCAGGCGCGTTCCCACGCTGGTCCCGTGCGCACACCTAGCAGCGCGATGCTGCCGCTCCCGGCTCGGTCGCTCAGGCTAGCACGGATTTGTCCAAAGCCTTGGCCACCTCCACCACCGCCTCCTTCCGTCTGCCGCCACCTCCTCCCGATCCTCCACCGCAGCCTCCACGCCCGGGAGCGTTTTGAGGAGAGTCAGAGTTCCCGTTCTTCACAGGTGCATAAAGGTAAATTGATCAAGTGTACAAAGACAACGTTCTGTTGGCAGCTGAGAGCTCGATGCTGCCGGAAAAAAAAGGGAGGGGAAGAAAATCAGAGCCCCAGCATCAGAGGACCTGGGTAAGAAAAGTGTGGTCAATGATGTTAATAGTTGCCCCATCCATTCTATTTCAGCCCATTCTGGTTTGGGCCGCAGGGCCAGCCTGAGATGCAGCTCTGGTCAATGAGGAAGGCGTGCGCTCCTGGGTCCCTGGCGGCCAGAGCCCGGCCGACCTGTCCCCTCCTCCAGCCTCCATTCTTTTCTCCATCCCCAAATACCATACTTTCTGACTGTGGGGGTGGGGGAAGGAAAAAGGGGGCGGAGGAAGGGAGAAAAGAGGAGGGGAGGAGCTAGGTCCTCAAACCTAAGAGAACTTTCCGGATTTGAAGAAATCAACTTTTTCCAAGAAGAAAATTTAGAAACTCATCTTAAAGATGCAAGCGCCACTTTAAAATGTACATAAACAAGCGGGCACATCTTTTGTTTTAATTTTGAGGTCTTGGAGAGATCCTGATCCACAATACCAGCAGTAAATATAAATTTACCAGCTTGAAGAAATCCCATATTAGTTACTAAGGCAACGCCTGGCCAAGTCTCCGCTCGTTGGAGTTTCGTAGGTTTCCCACCATAAGAAATCGGGCTTACTGTGCCTGTTCGGGTGGACAGGTGCAGACAGCGGTACCTGTTTCCCCAGATGGGAGAGGGGGTGGAGGGGCTCCTGCCCCTGCCTATCCTGGGACCTTTTGACTTTGAATGGTTGCTAAAAAGGGAACGGAGCGGGGCTTCGGGTCGCTCCTGCAGAAGCAGCCTGAGCAGTGCCGCGTTCAGAACCCTGGACAGTGCTCGGTCCAGCGCTGAGACCTACCCGCTGGGCCTGCCAGGGACGCTTTGTCCAGTAAATTGCAATTCCTTGACACCCCCCAACCCCCCGCCGCCGTCCTTGGCTCTTTCATCCTCCCTCCTTCGCGTTTTTCACACCCGCGGGCACGCGCGCGCACAGACACATACACACACACACACACACACACACCCCTCCTTCCCGCCCCTCCCCTCGCCTCCCCACCACCCCTGCACCCTCAGTCTCCGCGCCTCGCAGCTCTTCTGCAGGTACACATTCACACCCCACCTCTTCGGGGGCAGAGGCGCCAAATCTCAGCAGCCTGCAGGCTGAAGTTGGCTCCCTCTCCTGTCCCTCCTCGGATCCCTTTCTCAGGATGAGCATTGGACTAGCAAGCGGCTAAGGTAGCACACCGGGATTGTGAGAGTGCAGACCAGGGTAAGAAAGAGGGCAGACAGCCCAGATACCCCCACGGGTCGTAGTGCTTCCCCGGGGACGGAGGACTAAAGGAAATGGGCGAGGATGCGCCTGGGAGCTGCGGGGGAAATGCCATAGATTGAGACTTGGTTGCTGTGAGTGGGATTCAGGGCAGGGAGGTCCACTCACCTGACTCTAGAAGATGTGGACTTGAGACTTACCGGGTTGGGGTTGACAGTGCTGTTGGTCCCCGGGGCCAGAGGACAGCGGCGGCGCTCGGTTCGCAGACGCCTCAGCTCTAATCCAGGCGGTGAAAGGATGCGATCTGGGCTGTACACTAGTGCCCTCTTTCTTCAGCACTGTTTTACCGCAAGGGAAAAAGGAAGAGGGGGGGAAGGGAGAAAAAAAAAAAAAAAAAAACAGGTCACCCAAGGCTTGTCTATCATCTCATGCATAAAAACCAGTCGTTTGATAGAGGAGGAAGCGGAGAAAACTGGGGAGAAGTGGGGATTACTAATTCCATTACTACTGGAGGGGTCTTAAAGAAACTGTCAGATAGATGTAGCAAAAGGAGTAGGGAGCTTCTTAGGCTGATTTTGGGTGGACGTATTTGTATGCATCTTGGAGACTTAAATATATTTTCTCTCTCTGGAAGTAAGGTTCCTACCAAGAAAGGCAGAGTGCCAATGCATGTGCATTACATCTAGAGGTAGGTTGCTTGCACAGGTCTCAAAGGGAAGGGGAAGAGGTGGTGTGGGGTGAGAATAGTGGAAGGAAGGACATGCCTGTCACGAATCCAGACAAACCAAAGGAAGAGAAGGTGAACAGTGGTTTCATTTTCCAGGTCAAGATGTAACTAAACTGAGAATGAGAGTCAGGCCACATGAAAACACTGGAGTGAAAAACACCTATCTACATTCCTCCCAGGCTGCCACCACCCTCCCGACAGGTCAATGGGTGTTGCTTCTTAGCGTGTCAAAAGTGGAAGTTAAATCACATTCCTTTGGGACCATGTTGGCTGAGCAGAATGTGTCCTGGCTTTTCCAAACGGGAAAGACAAGAGACAGTGTGCCTTTCCACTCTTGTTCAAAGCTTTCTATTTGTGTTATCCACAGAGCAGAGGGATTGGCTCATGTGGGCCTCTTTGTAATAGCCTTCTCATGTCATTGTTACACTATGGGACTATGCCATATAAGGCTGGAGGGGACAAATCACATGAAGTAGTTTCAAATACTCTTCTATGTGTTCCATGAAAAGAAACAACTCCCTCAGTCAGGAACAGAAGATCTTTCTCATTCTGGCCCTGGTCTTCTTTCTCAGGTGTCAAATTTTTCTTATTGGACAATCTACAGACAATAGATTTTTTTTCCTTTTTTTTTTTTACCAATAATACACTGAACCAGGTGCACACTTTTTAAACTGAAAGATATCAGTTCTGGAAATAGTTACATGCTTACTCACCAAAAATGGGAAGAGTTAAGTTTCTGCCCATACAGACTAAAATGATTCTGGGCCTGTGTCTGTTGGGTGAAGGGCAAGCTGAGGGTATTCACAGTTTCCCATAGTATCTCACTCCTCTAGTAGCTACTTAAGTTCAGGTATAGATAAAGTAGATAAAGCCATTATAGTATTAAGATCCCTGAAGATGATTTTCCTGGAATATTTTATAGATATAGTAAATGTGCCATTATTTCTGTGCATAAATAAACCATTAATTATGATATTAGAGAAAGTAATGTCTGTGAAGTCCATATTTACCTTTAATATATACTCAAAACTGAATGTCTTTATTAAATTTCTTATTTATTTATTTATCTGCATTTTTACTTGAAAGCAGAGAGAGTGAGATGAAGACACATAGAGACACAGATAGATCTTCCATCCACTGGTTCACTCCTCAAATTCCTGTGAAAGCTGGGACTGGGCCACACCAAAACCAGAAGCCTAGAACTCCTTCTAGGTCCCCTTTGTGCATGGTAGCAACCGAAGTACTTGAAAAATCACATGCTGCCACCAAGGGTGTACACTAACAGGAAACTGGAATCAGAAGCAGAGCCAGGACTCAAACTCAGGCCCTCTGTATGGAATGATAGCGTTCCAGTTGACATCTCAAACACTGGAGCAAATGTCCAGGTCAAAGCTATTTGAATACTTTAATATTTCACATTGCTGTGGTTTAAAAAAGACTCAGATATTGAAAAAATAATTAAATGTTCAGATGTATTATTTTTCAAGTTCATTTTTACAGTCCAAGAACAAAGTACACATTTAGGCCATCTGAAATAAATAATTTTAATGAAGATAAACTTGAGTATTATAACAATACATAGTTTATGCTAGAGGGGTTAAAGGAAAATTTTAATTTCAAATGTAACAATATAAAATTATAAACTAAACTTACAGATAATTACTTTACACTGAACTTTAGATGACATGGGATCAAAAACAGGAAAAATAGAATGCATTAACACAAAAGGAGATAAGATCTCACAAACATACTTTTTTAAAAAAAATAAAGGTTTTATCAAAGGAGACAGAGCATGATACATGTATATTTATATAAGGTATGATTCTATCAGTAAGATTGAAGAGAATTACTAAAAGGATGGATTACATACAAATTATCAAAGACACTTCAATGTACTAAGAGTTGAAAAAATATTAAAGATGCATGAATTCAGAAGTACTGTAAATATTTATTTATTTATTCAGTACTGATAGAATAGTAAACTATAAGAATGTGATTTGTAATATTGTGATAAGCATCAACAATATTTTAGATTAAGAAATATATTTAGTGCAAAATACAATGGCAATTCAACAGAGGAAACTCTGACATGCGAGTATTATCTCAACACAATGATTTAATGTGTATAACAATCAGGACAATAGAACGCTCATCATCTATAGAAGGTAATAAAGCAAATGCATCCACAAACTACACTGTAATCATGTGATTCCTTGAGAATGTGTGCACAGTTCTCATTGTTTTCCATCATAAAAGGTATCACAGATAGAGAAAAGTATAGGTTATAAATGAGCAAAAGGACATTCAGTTTTCCAGGTGAAACCAGTTCAAAATTCAAACAGTTCAATATGAAAGACTAAAAGTAAGAAAGAATAAGATAAAAGAAAGAAATGAGTGAGTTAAACATGTATTCTAAATTACAGTATAACCTAGTAAGTCTTTCTAAAAGCAAAATTTACACAGTCACTGAAATATGGAAGCAAAGTATACACAAGAGAGAATAAACTCATTACTAAAGAGGTAGTACTGACTGAAAACAGAAATAGAATCAAAGAAGAACTTTGTAGAAAATTGATTTTTGGAAAATTGACATGTAGTGTATTATGAAGAGAATATAATGGATGTTCAAGGTAGATCACTGTCGTATAGAGTGAATACCATGCTTGTCCATAAACTACTATGCTCCATGAACAATTGATTGAATCCATTATTACTTGTCTTACATTCTTACACTTAATTCATGGATTCAGCATGATACTT